CAGCGTCCCTGGTCTAACACAATGAACCAATTTGGCAATTACTTTTTTTTCATCCAACTGTGATGAATCTCTGATTGTACCGTACACAGTTAACATCTTTGGCTGCATATGACTGACACAGATTATATTAAGCTGGTCTCTGTTTTATGTCCCATTACCTGGTGTCAGAACCCAGGGCTCATGTCCAGCCCATACTGCGGCCACAAAGCCAACTCAGGAGCCCTCAGGGGCTGAAGACCCACTCACCTCATCCCATCTTCCTTGCCGGTTGTCAGATCCCAGGGTTCAGCTCCAACCATGCTGCAGTCCGAGGGGAGTGGATAGATAGACAAAAAGAACACTTAGGGGGCCGTAGGCAGCTGAAAGATGATTTTGTTTGGCAGCAGCTCTTTTAGCAGCTTACTCTCACCCTGTCCACACTGTCTCGGGGGATTGAGCCAGCAGCTCCCCACCACAGCTCTGCAGCCAGTTCTCCCTTATCTTCAGGGTTAGCAGCTTAACTCTCTCTCTCTGGGCACGAGCAAGCCAAGCTGTGTTCTGGTTCCTTCCTTTCCATCTGCAAGATGAACAGCTTTGGCTCTCTTCTTTCTCTGGGCACCAGTGTACCCACCATGTTAAGCCATGTTGACCTGAGCTGAGCCCCAAGAGCCCCTGTACAACATTAGCAGGACAAATATACCTTTTACAGACGATAGTGCCTCAGAGCCAAGTATGAACTTACACAAACAGATTATATAGCAAGTGGAGGTGTGAGCCTGTGTTCCCAAACTCGCTGAGTTATGCAGACTTGGATATTCCCCTTGACTTAGTCCTTGACCAAAGCACATTCATGTACCTTACACCGGGAAATAATAGTGCTACTGTGCCCCAAGAAAATCCTAAACACAAACACACAATAGGTTTATTCCAATGATTCCAGCATATACTTATATTAATTTTTTAAGATTACTATTGGCCAGGTGCAATAGTAATCTTTGCTCACACCTGTAATCCCAGCACTTTGGGAGGCGGAGGTGGGTGGATCATCTGAGGTCAGGAGTTCAAGACTAGCTTGGCTAACATGGAAAAACCCTGTTTCTACTAAAAATACAAAAGTTAGCCAGGCACGGTGGTGTGCACCTGTAATTCCAGCTACTCAGGAGGCTAAGGAAGAAGAATTGCTTGAACCCAGGAGGCAGTGAGCCGAGATCACACCATTGCACTCCAGCTTGGGCAACAAAAGTGAAACTCTGTCTCAAAAAAAAAAAAAAGAGGGATTACCATCAATATGAAAGCAAATTTTAAAATTTCTGGGAGGAGCTGGTATACCCTTCAATAAATTTGCAGTTTGAAAAACTAAGTTGGAACATTTCTTTAATAGTGCACCTCAATCCTTTCCAAAGCGCTCTTTGTGAATCCTAAAGTACTGTTGCCCTCAGAAAATACTTACTCCAACTATGTTTATACAGGTGGCTTCTTAAAGTTCCGTTTGTGATGATCTCATCTTGAGCAAATGAGGAAAGGAAGCTAGATGTGAAGAATCTTGTGTCCCCATGACCTCACCCAGAAATGGTTTGGTAGTTAATTTTACTAAGCAAGATAGAGCAGTTGAGCAAATACTTAGACAGCACATCCTCTTGCTGGAATTCACTCAGGGTGGTGGGTAAAATATTAAGGGAAATGTTAGGGAAGTTATAAAATTATAGTCTCAAACCTTTTGGAAGGCTGAAAGGTTTTTATTAACTTACGGAACAGGCTGAAGGCAGCCAGTTCTTACATGAGAACATGAAGTCATAGGGCGAAGATTAAAGACAATAGAAGCTTCCCCAGTTAAGTCTGTTTACCGCACATTCCTTTGTCCGTACTCTAATTTGTTTACTCATGTAAACTTTGTGCTGGATGGTCCTCTCAGTAGGAGATTGAAGGGGAATTACCTGTTAATGCTGTTTAGTCTACGTCCCAGAACCAAGGCCTTTTATCAATTGTAAAACCACTCTTTTAGCCATGTTAATTATCCAGAAGCATGTTGACTTAGAACCTCTGTTATTAAATCTATACTGAACAAACGCGAGGACAAACAGGGAGTGGTGGTCAGTTAGCTGCAGTCGCCCTCTGAAAGCAGTTGATGACCATCCCCAGCCCACTCGATTCACTCATTCTGGTGTGCATGAGTGCATTTATTCATCCGTTGCTGAGGCAGGGTCAACTTCACATGGCAGAGTTGGAGAGAGCTCACTTAACTCGCCACTTCTCTGAATGTAGAAAGTAGCACAGCACACTGACTTCAACATGCTGAATGAATGTTCTGCTAAACTTTAGAGGTAGAAGGTTTTCCTAGATACCTTCTAGATAGGTAGAAGGAGTGGAAGAGACGGGACAGACCTCCACAGGTGGTGATCAACATCTCATCCTTTACCACTACCACCTTTTCCTTTTCATGAGGAGGACTTTGTAGTAAGTGAGTCATTGAAAAGGAGCTCCACATCTTTAGTAACAGCCTTGGAGGGCATGGGAAGAAGTAGGCCTTGCTGCAGAGCTGAGATGAACCTGCAAGGAGACAGCCCTGGCCCCAGGGAATGATCACTGCACTGTGCAGCCTGTTGGCTGAGATGACTCATTAAGCTGTGGTTCCCCTCCTTACTCTCACTTGAACAAGCAGCTGAAGACAGCACAGAACAGTTAGAGCTATGATCAAAAAAGATGACTAATACTTCAGTGTCTCCTGCTCTACCTGCCCCCAGGGAGAGGCCAGACCATTCAGGATACCAGCTGGAGTTTATACCTAGGGTGGAGTGTAGAGACAGTGTTTGATGTCACTACTTCCTTTTTTTTTTTTTGAGATGGAGTTTTGCTCTTGTCACCCAGGTTGGTGTGCAATGGTACAATCTCGGCTCACTGCAACCTCTGCCTCCCAGGTTCACACAATTCTCCTGTGTCAGGCTCCCAGGTAGCTGGGATTACAGGCACCTGCCATCAGGCCTGACTAATTTTTCTATTTTTCGTAGAGATGGGGTTTCACCATGTTGGTCAGGCTGGTCTCGAACTCCTGACCTCAGGGGATCCACCCGCCTCGGCCTCCCAAAATGTTGGGATTACAGGTGTGAGCCACTGCACCTGGCCACTACTTCCTTCTTGGTCCACTATATCCAATGAATAGCCTATTGTAAATGGCCTATGCATTTTCCTCTTTCTACAGAGCACTGTGTAAAATGTTTAGTTCAATTAACTCACGTGGGAAGGACTGAGCTAGAATGCTTTCCTTTCATCTTAATTCAACTAGTTAACTCAGGGGCCATATTAAGTGATGCTTAACCCCTTTTAGAAGATGCAAGAGAGTGAATATAATTTTCCCCAAAATGATAGGTAAATTAGTCTGTTAGGTACACTGTAAAATTCTCTCCCAAATTTCTCCTCTACAAATCATGAAACAGTATCTTCATACATTTTACTCAAACGGTAAAACAGTATCTTCATACATCTTATTCATCTTAGGCACAACTTTTGTTTTACTGAAAATTACTTGCAACTCACTGAAAATCTGTTCAGAGTTATGTTAAGACTTTTTGCAATATTTATAACCTTTTTGACTGCATGCATGACAGTAGGAACATGGAATGGCTTTCTAATAGAGGAAGAACATGTGTCAGGCCCTTAATTTCACCATCTGGTATTTCTTCCTCCCAGTCACACATCTGTAGCTCAGACACTCTTCGGAGGGATCAACTGAGACGAACTGCTCTCCATCTTGTCTAAGCATGGCTGAGAAAGCATGGTGGAGTTGGAGAGAGTTCACTTAACTTGCCACCTCTCTGAATGTAAAAAGTAGCCCAGCACACTGGCTTTGATATGTTCGATGAATGTTCTTTTGCCAAACTGTTAGGGGTAGTTTTGCTAAACGGTTAGGGGCAGAAGGTATTCTTAGATACCTCCTAGGTAGGTAGAAGGAGTAGAAAAGTTACTGGCAGCAAATCCGTATGAGCCTGCAGCAACCTCAGTTCTTGCCTCTTCAGAAGAAAGAATTTGACTGAGGGTCATAAGGCAGAAAGAGAGACTGAGGCAAGTTTCAGAGCAGGAGTGGAAGTTTATTTTAAAAGACTTTAAAACAGGAAAGAAAGCACACTTGGAAGAGACCCAAGTGGACGACTTGAAGGACAAGCTCAGTGTTTAACCTTGAACTAAACCTAGGGCTTCATAGGCTGACCCACCTCTGGCATCTTCCATCCCTTTCTCCTCATCCTTCCCTTGTGGTGGGCTGCCCACATGGGCAGTGCCCTCCTTATGCTTGAGAGGTGAGCATATGTAGTGTGTTTAGGAAGTTGTATGTGTTGTATGTAAATTTTCCATGCCGCAAAAGAAGTAGCACTCGAATACAAATTCTTTCAGCAAGGCAATTTTCTTCTACAGAAGGGTGCATCTCACAGATGGAGCAATGGCGAGCACACACCTGGACAAGGGAGGGGAAAGAGTTCTTATTCCTGATGCAGGTAGCCCCTGCTGCTGTGTCGCTCCCCTATTGGCTAGGGTTTGCACAGTCTAAGCTAATTCCGATGCTCTATTTTAAAGAGAGCAGGGGTACAAGCCAGAGTGGCAGGGTGGGTAGTTTGGCCAGAAGGATGGTTATGGAACAGGTCAGAGCAGGTGACCAGGGGTGACTCATACCAAAGCAGGTGACGAGGGGTGACTCAGGTTGAAGCAGGTGACCAGGGGAACAGATGTGAACTACTGATTAGAACTGGCAAGAAAGTTGTTTACTGAAACTAGAGGCAAGGAGGCACAGAGAACCAGGAAGTTAAATTTTAAAATGGAGAGTTAAAGAATAAGAGAGTTGAACATACTGACATACTGATACTTTGAAGAGAAACTTGGAATTCACCATATCTAACAAAGGCATGCCCATCTGAAGCTTTCTTCATTTTCCAGTGGAGTGCCCCCAAGAGGTCATACTCCACCATTTTGTCTCTTAAAGTTCATGCCCAGGCTCACTCACCCAATTCCTGGAGATTTTATTAGAAGCTGACAACCAATCTCAAGAGTTTTTATCTACTTGGGGAGTTGCTCCTCCCTGGCAGCTGCATTCAATTAACACTTTAGTGTGACGGCTGTGAACCATCAGGAGATTGTTTCTTCCTGGTGCCAAATTTGCTGCTGCCAAATTATCATTTTTAGAGAGGCAAACTGCACACACATCACCGGATGATTGCCTGACATTCCTGGTGGGGCTGACGGAGAGCTCTCTCCTGCCCGACTCATGCCTGTCTAACTACCTGTAACAACACTGCTATTCAATATGATTCCACAGGCTGCTCAAGTGGCATGGCCTGACCTCTACCTGCCTCTCACACCTTCACCTCTTGCCTTTTCCTCCTTACCTACTACACTTGAGCCATATTGGCCTCTTTTTTGTTTATTGAAACTCCGACCTCAAGGCCTTTGCAGACACCTCTCCCTCGGTGGTGGCCCCACAGCCCCTCCCCCTCCATTCTCACCTGGCAGTCTCCTTCTTTGAAGCCCCAGCTTTCGTGGCATCTTCCCAAAGAGAACTTCCTGTTAATCCTTGATCCCACTCCTAGACCATTTTCCTCACAGTCCTTACCACAATTTGTCATTTCCTAAACTTGATTGATTACTAGTTTATTTACTGTTTCCGCCACTAGAATCTAGTCTCAAAGAGACAGAGATCAAGTATGCTTTATCCACCAATATGTACCCAGATCCAAGCATGGTTCCTGGAACATGGGAGCGCTCAATTCACATCTGTTAACAAAGAATAAGTAAAATAAATGACAGCCAAAAAAGTTTCTATATTTTCTGCAGAATCACGGCTAAGGTTGTCATCTATCATATTACCCAATGTTCCAGCAAAGATTAATAAAATGAAACTCTTTTTTTTTTCTCAGACAGAGTCTTGCTCTGTTGCCAGGCTGGAGCGCAGTGGCGCAGTCTTGGCTCACTGCAACCTCTGCCTCCCGGGTTCAAGTGATCCTTCCACCTCAGCCTCCCAAATAGCTGGGACTACAGGCGCATGCCACCACACCTGGCTAATTTTGTATTTTTAGTAGAGATGGGGTGTCACCATGTTGGCCAGGATGGTCTTGATCTCTTGACCTCGTGATCTGCCCGCCTCAGCCTCCCAAAGTGCTGGGATTACAGGCGTGAGCCACCGCACACAGCAATAAAATAAAACTCTTTATGAAAAAGTTTGTATTTCCAGAGTGCCAAATTGAAGGCAAACTAACAAGTTCAGCAAAGTTACTATCAACACACAAAAATGAGTTGCATTTCTTTATACTAACAATGAACAATTTCAAAAGGAAAATTTTAAAGCAATCCCATTTATAATAGCATCAAAAAGGATAAAATAGATAGAAATAAGCTTAACCAAGGAGATGAAAAACTTGTTGCTGAAAAGTGTAAGACACTAATGAAAGAAATTACAGAAGCGTAAAGAAGACACAAATAAATGGAAAGATATTCCATATTCATGCGTTGGAAGACAAAATATTGGTAAAATGTCCATATTACCCAAAGGAACCTACGGATTTAATGCAATCCTATTAAATTCCTAGTGACATTTTTTGCAGGAATAGAAAACTATCCTAAAATTCATGTGGAATTTGAAGGGGCCCTAAATAGCCAAAACAATCTTGAAAAAGAACAAAGTTGGAGGCCTCACATTTCCTCATTTTAAAATATATTATAAAGCTGTAGTAATCAAAAAGGTGTATCACTGACATAATAATAGTTATACAGTTCAATGGTACAAATTAGAGAGCCCAAAAGAAACTTTCACCTATATGGTCAAATGATCTTTGACAAGGTTGCTAAGACCACACAATGGGTAAAGAACACCGTATTCAACAAATGGTATTGGGAAAACTGGGTATCCACATGCAAAAAATGAATTGGATTCTTATCTTATAATATATGAAATAATTAAGCTCAAAATGTATTAACTAAAACTATAAAACTCTCAGAAGAAAATTGGGATGTTGTAAAAATGTATATTTGGTCTTCAACCTGTTTCCTAATATACAATTCCTAAAATCTTTAAAATCTCCAAGGTGATGTCTTTTTGTACACTAATGAGTCTACTGGTGGTTGGCAGCCTCTGCATAGCTTCAGGGAGGGGTCTGGTCACTGGAAAGACCAAGGCATGATTAGAGGGTTGGGTTTTTCAGCCCACCCCTCAACCTTGAAGGAGGGGAGAGGTGCTGAAGGTTAAGTTGATCACCAGTGGCTAATGATATAATCAATCATGCCCACACAATGAAACTTCCATAAAAACCCAAAAGGTGGGCCAGACGCAGTGGCTCGTGCCTGTAATCCCAGCACTCTGGAAGGCTGAGGTGGGCGGATCACGAGGTCAGGAGTTCGAGACCAGCCTGGCCAATATGATGAAACCCCGTCTCTACTAAAAATACAAAAAAAATTAACTGGGCGTGGAGGCGGGTGCCTGTAGTCTAAGCTACTCAGGAGGCTGAGGCAGGAGACTTGCTTGAATCTGGGAGGTGGAGGTTGCAGTGAGCTGAGTTCATGCCACTGCACTCCAGCCTGGGTGACAGAGCGAGACTCCATCTCAAAACAAAAACAAAAACACAAAAGGCTTAGGTTTGGAGAGCTTCCTGATAGCTGTACATGCAGAGGCTGCTGGGGAGGGCATAGAATCTCTGCAGTCCTTCTCACATACCTTGCCCTATGAGATACAGATCTCTTCATCTGTATCCTTTGTAATAGCCTTCATAATAAACCTGTAAACATAAGGTAGTGTTTCTTCAAGCTCTGTTAGGCAATCTAGCAAATCAGTTGAACACAAGCAGGGGGCCATGGGATCCTCAATTTATAGTCGTTCAGTCAGCACAGGTAAAACCTGAGGCTTGTGACTAGCATCGGAAGTAAGGGAATGAGCCCTCAACCTGTGGGATTGAAGCAGCATGGTTTGTCTGGGGTAACACCAGAGGTTCGTTGCCACACATCAAGGAAATCAAGGATGGGGACACACAAGGAGTGGGTTTAAGAACAGAAGTTTAACAGGTGAAAGAAAGAAGAGAGAGCTTCCCCATGCAGAGGAAGGGGGTCCCAAATGGATTTCCAGGTTTGCGGAGAAATGAGATTGCTTTTGTAGATGAGCTTGAGGAAGTGGTGTCTGGTTTACATAGGGCACCAAGGATTGGTTGGACCAGATGTGAAATTTACATAGCACATGAAGAGCCTGGCCATCCCACCTTCATCTTTTATTACGCAAATGGTATCTCTACCTGGCCAACGCTGTGTTGCCTGCTTTTTTACTGCACACGTAGCAACAAAGAAAAGGGAAAAGGGCACCTCCATGTTGAATATACCTGGCTTCCAGGTATCCCCTTCCTATTGGCACAGCTGCCAGCATTTGCCCATGCAAGCTTCCAGTTTGCTTACCTATGTTTGCAGCTTGATTTTTCAGGCTGTTTTTGTTAGAAAAGAAATGATTTGGGACTGTTTGTTATTAAAAGGAAAACCTTACTGAAGACTCTCTTATCCTCACTGACTACCTAGATAATTTCTTTTTAGGTCCTGTATCAGGATCTGATGCTCTCTCCAGGTAGACAGTGTCATAATTCAATAAAAGGATACCCAACCAGTGTCTACTGCAGAACTGATTGCTCTTTTGTTTTTTTATTTGTTTGTTTATTTTTGAGACAGAGTCTCACTTTTATCACCCAGGCTAGAGTGCAATGATGCAGCACTCTCAACGCAACCTCTGCCTCCCAGGTTCAAGCAATTCTTCTGCCTCAGCCTCCCAAGTAGTTGGAATTACAGGCATGTGCCACCACACCTGGATAATTTTGGATTTTTAGTAGAGACGGGGTTTCTCTATGTTGGTCAGGCTGGTCTCAAACTCCTGACCTTATAGGATCTGCCCACCTTGGCCTCCCAAAGTGCTGGGATTATAGCCATCAGTCACTGCACCTGATCATTTTCTTTCTTTTTTTTTTTTTTTTTTTCACCTGGGTGCGGGTGGGCTAAGGCCAAAAAGGGCATTAGCCCATTTTCTTGTTAATGGGGAAAAATCATTACACATTTGGTCACAGAAGTGTTCTGTGTTGGTGGTTGTGGCATGAGAGCAGAGGAACAGTTTGAGCTTTTTCCCCTCAAAAACATAGGAGAAATCTTCATGATATTGGACTTGGCAATGATTTGTTGGCTATGACACCAAAAGCACAGACAACAAAAACAAAAATAGACAAATGTGACTACCTCAAACTTAAAAACTTCTGCACATTAAAGGAAATAATCAACGGAAAAGGCAACCTTTGGAATTGGAAAAAGTATTTGCAAAATATTTGCTTTGATAGATTAGCAGATAAAATGTGGTGTTCACATGCTATGAAATATTATTCAGCCTTTAAAAAGAAGGAAATGCTGTCATGTGCTACAACATAGGTGAAGCTTGAGGACATTATGCTATGTGAAATAAGCCAGCAACAAAAAGATAAATACTGGGACAAGCACAGTGTCTCACACCTGTCATCCCAGCACTTTGGGAGTCCGAGGCAGGCAGATCCCCTGAGGTCAGCAGTTCAAGAACAGCCTGGCCAACAAGGTGAAACCCCATCTCTACTAAAAAATACAAAAATTAGCTGGGTGTGGTGATGTGCGCCTATAAACCCAGCTACTCAGGAGGCTGAGTCAAGAGAATCGCTTGAACCCAGGAGGCGGAGGTTGCAGTGAGCCGAGATCACGACACTCCAGCTTGGGCAACAAGAGTGAAACTCCATCTCAAAAAAAAAAAAAGAAAAGTAAAGAAAAGTAAAAGATAAATACCATGTGATTCTACTTATATGAAGTAGCTAAAGCAATCAAATTTATAGAAGCAGAAATTAGACTGCTGATTGCCAGGGGCTCAAGGAAGGAAAAATGGAGAGTTGTTCAATGGCTATAAGGTTTCCGTTTTGCAAGATGAAAAGGTCCTGAAAATAGTAACACTACTGAACTGTACCTGTAATATGGTTAAGACAGCAATTTCTTTTTAAGGGGCAGGATTTCACTCTATTGCCCAGACTGGCCTCAAACTTCTAGGCTCCAGCGATCCTTCCACCTCAGCATCTGGAGTAGCTGGAACTGCAGGTGTGTACCACCACACCCAGCTTTTAAAAGGTCACTGTTTTATTTATTGATTTTTAATTAGGGCAGACTTAACAGTAAGTGATTCATCCTTGGTTTCTGATACGATTGTTTCCTCCTTTCTCTAAAGGAAGTCTGCTCTCTGCCATTATTTTATCTGCCCAGAATACAAGTAGAGCAATGTCTTATT